TACTCTCTTTCACCTATTATTGCCGACAGTTTCCTGTCAATTCCGTCCAAATCCTACGTCCAACCATATACGCTGCCGGCGCCATTGCTCTCGCGGCTCCACTGTTGCACGCTTACACTAATATATATAGTAGTACAATATAAGCTGCCGGCGCCATTGCTCTCGCGGCTCCACTGTTGCACGCTTACACTAATATATATAGCAGGTAGGAAAGCGGGATCGCAAAATTTGCTCGACGCTCACTGGATTTCACACTTTCACAGCACGAATACACATCCAACAGCTGCCATCTTTGTTTATATGTCAAGAACAGTGTTCACTTGTTATAAAAACATACTGTCTCTGTTCGTAACCAAGCTGTGTCACGCGAAATCACATAAAGACTGACAAAATTTTTGCATTCGCGAACCTTGCCCCGTAATGTAAATGGCTGTCAGAATCAGGGCTATATAGACTGGGACTCGCTCCCACCTCGATTACCCATCGAGTGACTATAAGCTAAGCTGAGAAGTGGGAGCGAGTGCCAGTCTATAGACTATAGGCGGCGCGCAGGAGGTGCACTGCTTTCCAACTCCCATACGATCCTCGCCATTGGAACGTTGCAGCGTTGCAGCGCAAGAATGAGGTCACGAAGAGCGCCGGTAGGTGTTTCCTGATTCTGACAGCCATTTACATTACGGGGTAAGGTTCGCGAACGCGAGAATTTCGTCAGTCTTTGTGTGATTTTGCGTGACACAGCTCGGTTACAAACAGACAGTATGTTTTTATAACAAGTGAACACTGTTCTTGACATAGAAACAAAGATGGCAGCTGTTGGATGTGTATTCGTGCTGTGAAAGTGTGAAATCCAGCGAGCGTCGAGCGAATTTTTCGATCCCGCTTTCCTACCTGCTAGGTATATATATTATTATTAGTGTAAGCGTGCAACAGCGGAATTGACAGGAAACTGTCGGCAATAAAAGGTGAAAGAGAGTATAGAAACATTAAGAATTTTGTAGTAAATAGATTGCGTATTTAGTTAGAATTATATTTTATTGAAACGCTTCAAGTGCCTGCATGTGCCTGTGGCGCGTATGCCGTATGGCAATGCGCTGACATCCCAATGTCAATGACAAAGTGACGCAACAACAACAATCCGTGCAGTTTTATACATACTGGTTAAATATTATACGACACTACATTGCGATACTGGCTTGTAGTTTTATATAGTTGGCATTACCTACCTATCCCACAGTCCTGGACAACGGTTTACAACACAAATTGACGGAAGCAGTGGACATGTTTGTTATGCACGTACAGCTCCAAGCGATAAATCTATCATTATTTTTCACTTTTCTTCCGCTTGGCGGCAGCACTATTCAATTTGTTATTTGACCAGTGATTGTTTGTGCTGGGACACTTAGGCCTACTGTGGCACAGCAATTAATTCCTGACCCTAACCTGACCACTAACCCCGCGGACACTAACAATGCACTAACCGCCTGGCGCAAATATTCAACCAACAGAGCTTCAATAAATAATTATATTGAGTACTATAGTCTCTCTCTCTCTCTCTCTCTCTCTCTCTCTCTCTCTC